ACCTTGAAAGGTGCAATCAGCTAACTGCGTACTGACGACGCTGTGCGTCTGCTACATTAGCGCGACGGCGCTAAGAAATTTCTATCAGGGTTGCTCTTACGACTGAATTTGCAAAACCTTCGTCTTACCTTGGGCAATCGGTTCATCCCGAGAAAAGTATAGCGCGGTCTAGTCAATCTTCCTGCCCTCAAGAAATATTTTCGTGTCATCTGGCCCATATGTACGGCTGACTACGTCCATTATGAATTTTAATTTCCGTCAATAAATATTCGGATTTCCGAATTACACCACAGACTGTCATTTCATACACAAAGTCATGCTTCTTGTCCGTGTTATGCATGAGGATTAAGTGAAAACTTACTTTTTGTGTCGCACTTGGGTCGAATTGTGGCCACTTGGTTTTTAATTCGCTTAATTATGAAACAGGATATGCTCGAATTTCGCATTTATTCCGTTGATTTGTGTTTTACTCCCTTTGGCGAATTTTTGTGCTGTCGAAGTCCAACACGAGGCCGATCGTTTTGTATACTCTGACCGTGCTTTAAAAGAACCCTGTTAATTTCATCAATGCATCGTGTTGTCCAGAATTTCAATAACGCCCACCTGAGGCAAAGGAAAGACGTTGAGGACACCCACACTTTCGGTGTGCCTTTAAGCTGTCTGGTTGATTTGCCGTCTATGAGCATTCCCCGAATTGTAACGAACATCTGCGAATTTTTACTTAAGTACGGACTGTGCGTTGAGGGAATCTTTCGTGTTAATGGAAGTGCGAAGAAAATATGCAGTTTAAAGGCCCTCTTCGATGTCTCGCCCGACTTCAGTCTGACGAATTCCTATGTACACGACATTCATGCGATTTGCGGCGTTTTCAAACTTTTTCTGCGAGAAATCCCCGACGGCCTCGTTCCAGCGCTACCTACGAAGAATGTCGTAAAGGTGCGTTTATTTCCATTTAAAACATAGGACAGTTGTGCTTTTATATTTAATGCAACAACTATTTCTACGAGAGACAGCATGAAATACATCGGAAGCTTCCCAACAGTTCTTTTGATAGCATATTCGCCGTCCTGACGGCAATATTTTTGTCTTATTTTTCTGTCGAATATAGGTTTTCGTAATAAATTATCAGCCTGCTGTGCATGCTTCCCTTGTAGTCATTTCTTACGTAGTCCAATAGGAAGCCCTTTTAAGAGCCGGTACCCTGACGTGGCTGAAATGCCTTTGCATTATACTGCTAATAATTAACCTTACGGCCCTAATTAAGCAATATTTTCGAATATAAAACACATTTTAGTATTTGGGTTAACGTTTCATTGGATAACACATCGATTGTATTTGAAGAGCCTATCCTATGCAGGCATTTCGATGCGTTTCTTATGTATGTAAACGTCATTCCTGTTATCGTCCGTTCTTCATTTACTAACATTAGGACATTTGGTCCTCATCTGATCGATTTCTTTTTCCACAACCTGTTAGTTTCATCTCCCCACTTGTTCGTATTAGGCGAACAGGTCTGTGTAAGAGCCACTTTTCGTTGTTTTTTGGTCTCGCTCTGCGAAGATTGTCCACGAGGCCCCAACTACCGGGGTAAATATTCTTCGTGTTTGGGAAAATTGGGCACGGATTCTCACCGATAAACTAGAAATCTAAAACATTTTGTCTATCTTAAACAGAAAACAGCCTGGTCTAACGTTTGTTTAGTTTCTTTAAAGGACTTAGGGCAGTTTATATGATTGTACGCTTTACTGTCCGTATTCGGGACACTTCATACATAGTGTTGAGTGTATTCGATGATATTTTTACTTTCCGTTAGATATTATCAACCTAAAAATCAGCCATGCTTAGCTTATTTATGCTTAGTTTTAAAGACTTCGCACATTAGGTGGGTCAGTTACCCGACTCCCGTAATAAATTTACTTATACCGATCCACACGTTACGTGTACTCGTACTCTCAACGCCATCTGAAGTAAAAAATGAAGTTGAGATAATCAGAACTTTAAAAACTTCAGAATTCAGAATTTTTTTCGAGTCGCTATCTCTCTTGTTTACCGCACAAATCGTTAGCATATGAAAAAGCGTACTGCATCTTTTGACTCTTAGGATATCTCTGTTACAATAGAGGCACTACCTTTATTTTATTATTCGAAATATAATTAGCTAACACTCGTTATCGTTACGTCCCTTTTGGCTTGCCAATTTTGGTTGAACCTGCATTATTAGTTAATTCGACTGTAATTCTAGAGCTAACTTGAAAGT